AGGGGCGAGTCTGCCTCCCATTCTATTCAAAGTCTCACTGAGATAAATGCATATACGATTGCTTCCTTTGGAAAGGCTAATCAGAAAGTCAAAGGAATGCAACCATTTGTCTCCCACCCATGCTCTGAAAGCCCCAAGCCCCCTCCTCTCTTTGAGTTGTCCCCCCTTTCCGGACCAAACCAAGGTTCATTTGGCAAAAGTTGATTGATGTCTCCCTTGTTAAAAGTAAAAAATTGAGTACAGTGAAGAGGATAGTTATTTTAAGCAAACGTTTTGTGTAAATTAAAATCTTAAAAGCTATTTTTAATGCTCATTTGATCTATGGGTCGTTTCCAATTAAAAACGGGTTGTAATATGGAGAAACGTGTTTCTAAAATTGTGGAATCATTCTTCCCTATAAATGCCCATATCTAATAGTTCAGAGTTTGCTTTTTAGGGTTTCCCTAAAGTTTTAAGTTACTAAAAATAAAATTCTAATTAGCACGTAATTCTGTATACAAAATGTGCCAGAAAGGCTTATGTTATTAGTGGAAAAAAGAATAATTTTGTCTAATTCAGAAGTTGTATAAAAGTTAGTTTTACAGATTTGAAAACATTATTTATGAATCAATGTAGTAAGGAATCATTAAGTAGGGGAGAAAGGAGTGGAAAAAGTTTAAATAATAAAATATTCCTCAAAACCTGATAAAGAATTGGAAACATTTCGCTAATGAACATTTTCATAGTTAAAACTCTTAGTGTTGATTAAGGTAAGAAGTATTGTAAAAATGCATCGGCAGTTTCGCAATTCTTTTTTCACTATGGTTAAGCATGAGGCTGAATTTAGCGTAAAACCAATTTCCACACACATGCTTGCATTGCATCCCTCTGTGTTTCCCATTTTCCGTGAACAGTGCTGGAGTACTTGTTGGTCATGTACCTAAAGTGGATTTCTTGATTGCACAGAATGTCTAATGATATTGGTGAACTTAAGGATATTGAATTGTATGTCAGGAATAGTCATTATGTGGGTTTTTGGGGGCCCTAGGCAACACTGCACTTTCCAGGGTAAGTTGAGTATGAAAATTTAGGGGTTTTTGTTTTGTTTTGTTTATTTGTTTTTGCTTCTAGTTTTCATTGGTTTCCTGTTTAGTCTCCTTTGGCTTTGTGTGTCTCTCCATATAAACCCATGCTAGGAGAAGGCTTTTATTTGGTTCTGTGAATAGTTATTTTGTCTCCTATGCATTTCTAGCAAGTCATCATTCGTTCCATTTATCTGGAATTCCTAAAGCTACCTTTGTTGGGCTACAGGAATTAATGGAGCACACCAGCTTTTTATCTTTAAATGAACTTTGGCTTTTAGGCTTCCTGATACTTCAAGTGTGTAGAGTGTATTCTCACAAATAGAATTTGAGTCATATTTCTCTCTCTCTGCCTAATTTCTTCAAAATTTGTAAAGTGTTTGTGAATATTCTTGATTCATGGCAATGTGTTTGTTTGCAAACAGTCAGGCAGGGTCACCAGAGCTGCTTAGGGAGAGAGAATCCAGAAACCCGGCATGTAGACAGAAGGGTAAGAATTTCTTACATCAGTCTCTGGCCTCTTTCTCTCTGTGCAAACTGGTTAATCTCCTCTGTGAAGTTTTAAATTAATTATGTCACATGAGTCCACGTTAAGAGAGTCCACCAGCAGACTTTGCGTGAGCAACAAGGCTATTTATTTCACTTGGGTGCAAGTCGGTTGAGTCTGAAAAGAGAGTCAGCAAAGGGAGATAGGAGAGGGGCAGTTTTATAGGACTGGGGTAAGCAGTGGGAAGTTACAGTTAGAGGTGGTTATCTATTGTCAGCAGAGGAGGGGGTCACAAGGTGCATGGTGGGGAGATCGTAAGACTCTTTGTCCAGGAGAAGAATGTCACGGGGTCGATCGATCAGTTGGGGCAGGGCAGGAACAAGCCATAATGGAATGTCATAAGGTTGGTCAATTAGTTAAGACAGCAGCTGGCTGTTTCCTTTTTTTTTGTAGTTTTGGGCTGCCCCAGACTTCTTGGCTCCTGCAGGCCATCTGGACGTATATGTGCAGGTCACAGGGGTTACAATGGCTGAGCTTCGGCTCAGAGGCCTGACATTCCTGTCTTTTTACTTATAAAATATGAAGTTATAAGAAAAAATAAAGAAAATATAAGTTTTACTGGGGATTATTGGGGTAGGGGTGATGTTTCTCGGGACTGCTTCAAGCGTGACCAGTGACTGCACAGACACCTTAAAGAAAATTTGATAGTGAGTTAAAAGGATTAGGAATTTAGGCTGTGGGGAGATCCTGGGGCAGAGGATGGTACTGTGGGGTTGTTAAAAGTAGCATTTATCATATAGAATGATTGGTGATGGTCTGAATGAGGTTTTGTATGAATTGAGAAACCAAACAGAAGACACAGGCCTGAATAAGAGAAGGAAAAAACCAGATATTAAAGGACTAAGAATTGGGAGGACCCAGAACATCCAATTAGAGAGTGCCAAAAGGGGTTCAGCATAATTATTTGCTTGGTGGGTGACTTTTGGGGCTCTATCCTTGAGTTGTTTTTTTTTTTTTTTTTATGTTGTCATATACCAGGCCAGATTGATTTAGCTAAAAACAACACTCTTCATTTAAAACTATAGAGTCCTCCTTTTTCAGCAGTAAGTCGAGGCCTATTCTTGTCTTCTTATATTAATAATGAGAAAAACAAAACAAAATAGTAGTAAAGTGTTGGTGTCATGAGGGGAACAGGAAGCTGTTTGGTCCTATTTGCAAATTGATTTTGTGGGGTGAGGAAAACTAGTGTACATGTGCCTGTCCAATTGATAGGTAGACACGTGTAGGTGGAGGAGCCACAGAGGAAGGGGAGACTTTTGTAAGGCAAAACTGGAAATGTAAAGTGAAAAGATGGCCAGGAGCAGCAAAAGGGGTGTCTTGCACCCAGACTCTTAGGGATTTAGTAAGGGCAGCAGCCATTAGAAGCTGTAACGGGGATTGATGGGGCAACTGGGTGGGGGGTGGGGCATTGATTTTTATGGTGTATGAGAAAGCACATAGTGTCTACAAGCAACCTTTCATTGCTATTCATGGGGTTGGGTATAAGTAAACAAGAAAGGGGGCTGGGAGGAGAGTCTGAAGAACAAGGGGAAGGTAGCCAAGGATGGAGTGAAATGCAGGGCAAACGTCTTAAAGGAAATGAGAGGTTCTTAGTGGCATACTAGTGGCTTGTTACCCATATGGAAGAGGTTTTGAAAGGTTGATAGAATGGAATGAGCCTGTGAGGCTGGAAGGAGGAATTTTCAGTGGGAGAGTAAGTAGGGGTGACTGATGAGAAGGCGAAAAACTGGCCATGAGGGACAGAAGTAGGAATACTGGCTGCTTCTTTAGCTGTCTTATCAGCATAATTGTTGCCTTGAGCAATGGGGTCTGAGGCCCTTTGATGGCCTTTGCAGTGAAGGACTCCAGCTTCCTTTGGAAGTAAAGAAGCCTTGAGAAGAGTTTTTATTAAAGAGGCATTAATGACGGAGGACCCTTGTGTAGTAAAGAAACCTCTTTCAGCCCATATAACAGCATGGTGGTGCAGGATATGCAAGGCATATTCAAAGTCAGTATAAATATTGACATGCAGTCCTTTTGCAAGAGTGAGGGCTTGAGTTAAGGCAATGAGTTCGGCTTGCTGAGAGGTAGTGGAGGGGGGCAGAGCAGTAGCCTCAATGATAGATGTGGAAGATACTATAGCATAGCCTCCCTTTGCTGGTGTGTGGCGATTAGGCCTGGTGGAACTGCCATCAATAAACCAAGTGTGATCAGGGTGAGGAACAGAAAAGAAGGAAATATGGGGAAATGCAGTGAATGTCAGGTGGATCAGAGACATACAGTCATGGGGGTCAGGTGTGGTATCAGGAATAATGTAGGGGCCAGCCTGAAACAGTAAGGTCAAGTTGTTTGGACATAAAGGCTACAGGGCGTGGTCCTGCCTCTTTTGTAAGAATTCTGACCACACAGCCCTGTACTTTGGCTGTGTGTAATGAAAAAGGGTTGGGATGAGTTATGGGGACCTAGTGTGGGAGTAGCTTCTAGTGCTGTTTTTAAGGAATGGGAAGAGGAGTGGGGAAAGGATTTAGGATCTATGGGGTCAGCTAGGTTTTCCTGTGTGGGTTTATATAATGGTTTAGTCAGGATGGCAAAACCAGGTATCCAAAGGCAAAAGTACCTAAACATGCCTAGAAAGGAAAGGAGTTGTTGCTTTGTAGAAGGGGTTGGGGTTTGGGAGATTAGCCGGACACAATCAGCAGGGAGAGCATGTGTGTTTTTATGAAGAATTATGCCAAGATAGGTAATGGATGAGGAAGAAATTTGGGCTTTGGAGGGGGATACATGATATCCCTTTTAGAATAGATGTTGGAGGAACAGGAGGGTGTCCTGTTGGGAAGATATGTAGGAGGGGCTATAAAGTAGAAGGTCGTGAAAATATTGAATAAGATGAGAAGCAGATGCATGGAAAGAAAGTAAATCACGAGAAAGGGCTTGACTGAAGTAATGAGGGCTGTCCCTGTACAGCCCAGGTAAGTTGCTGAGAGTGATGAGTGTCAGCATCAGTCCAAGTGAAAGTGAAGAGAGGCTGGGATGAAGGATGCAAAGGAATAGTAAAGGAAGCATGTTTGAGATCCAGAACAGAATAATGGGTTGTGGAGGGAGGTACTGAGAATAGGAGAGTATATGGGTTTGGCACCACTGGGTGGATAGGCAAGACAATTTGGTTGATAAGGCATAGATCCTGGACCAGCCTATATGACTTGTCTGGTTTTTGGACAGGTAGGATAGGAGAGTTGTAAGGAGAGTTCGCAGGCTTTAAGAGGCCATGTTGTAACAGGCAGGTAATCACAGGCTTTAACCTTTTTAAAGCCTGCTGTGAGATGGAATATTGGCACTGAGCGGGGTAAGGGTGATTAGGTTTTAGTGGGATGATAAGGGGTGCATGATCAGTTGCCAAGGAGGGAGTAGAGGTATCCCATACTTGTGGATTAAGGTAGGGAGACACAAAGGGAGGATGTGAAGGAGGCTTTGAACTGGGGAAAAGGGTGGCAGTGAGGTTTGGCTGTAGCTCAGGAATAGTCAGGGAAGCAGATAATTTAATTAAAATGTCTCGACCTAATAAGGGAGCTGGGCAGGTGGGGATAACTAAAAAGGGGTGCATAAAAGAATGTTGTCCAAGTTGGAACCAAAGTTGGGAAGTTTTAAGAAGTTTTGAAACTTCGCCGTAAATACCACAACAGTTAACGGGGACAAGGGAAACAGGCCCTTCAAAAGAAGGTAATGTGGAGTGGGTAGCCTCCATAGAAGTTAAACACGGGTGGTGTCCTCTATGAGGCGGTGCTGTCTTCAGAGAATTTTCCTATTTCTGTCACCTGGGCTCATCCCTGCGTGCCCTGATCTACCTGTCCATGTACAGCTGCAGCACATGCTTGATGCCTGTCTAACCAGAGCGTTCTCAGCCATTACACTGACTCAGTGTCACTGTGGGTGGAATGAGATGACAGACATCTTGCAGGTCACAGAAGCACCATAGGTAAAATAAAAGCAGCTTCTGCTCTTCCTCCTCCAGTAGCTCATGTTTGACTCCCAAATCCTTCTCAAATTGAGAAATATGTGGGTGTTTTATTTCATTTTCAAGGTTTTTCTCAGGATTTGAAATCTCCTACCTAATAGTTACTGAAGTTTAAGAAAAGCAAAATACAAAACTGCCCCCAAATCTCTGGGCTGCTGTTAATGATCTCCCCTTAGGGTATGGTGCTCAGAAAACCAATGACTAATGATCAGACCAGTTTCTATCCTATCTTCAGGAACCATCTACATAGTTACCATGTTGTGAGAAGCACCAAAACCCCATCTGTAATTCTGCTATGGGCTGCCTGGCGCTGATTCTTAATTTTGCAACCCCTCAGCTTGGCACAAGAGATAGCATCCTATAGTTCACCTGCTGCCACTTGCGTAGGGAATAAAAATAGCAACAGGTCTTCCAGACTCCAGTGTCCAACCCCACACATTTTTAACACCCCTTGCAGGGAATCCATCTCTCTCTCCTCTCTCTCTCTCCCTCCATCAGTTCAAACTTTCGCACATGTGTTGGCATCTTTCATGCTTCTGTTAAACCAGAGTATAGTTTTTCTTGTCCAGAGGTTTAGAAGCAAAACAATTTGAGCTGCTAGAAGATAAGGTGATGACTTCCTGTTAGAGTTTATCCATTCTGAGGTTCATTTTTACACTTCCGTGAAAGTGCTTTGATTGATCTCCAGAGCAAAGACACAGCAGTTCCTAATTTGAATGTTTCAGAACCGATTGAGAGCCCTGGTTCAGCCACTGGGATACAGGCCAAGCTGTCAGAACTTGTTTTGCTTTGTTACAGGAGAAGGCTAACGTAGGTGGGTGTGGAGGCTGCAAGGCAGGGATTACACTTCCTGAAACTGCAGCCTTCCGTGAGGGGGTGTGAAAGCAATCACAATAGTGAACAGGAAAAGTTTAATGGTGTTATTTGATTGAGACTTCGAAAGGTGAGACTGAAACACAGCACTACTAGTTCATAGGTTGCCTTTTTTTTTCATTATTTCTTTTTTCTTTCAACAGCTTTTCTTTTCTGTAGCAAAGTGACTGAAGTAAAGTGGATGTTAGGAGATGTGAAAATATGAGAAGAGCTGGAAATAAAGAAATAAAGAGGATCAGTTGTTCAAACATTATAAGCAGGATTTTGCATAAAAGAAAGAGGATAGATGAATTGATTTGTATTTTTATTGATTATTATAGTACCGTAGGTATCCATGGGCTTCTCTGATGGCCAAGAATATAAAACTAGGCCAAATATCATGGTTTCTTCCATTTAAAGCCAGGAAAACACCTTTGGCAGAAACAAAATTAGAAGGTGGAAAGTTGCTGTTGGATTGAGATATGATTACCTTGAATGTCCAACAACTTGTGGCAATATCATCTAGTAAATCTAAGTCAACACCAATCTGTTGACTCAGAAGTCCCCCTTCTAGGCATACCCCCAAGATAAATTTGTTCTCCAAAAAAAAAAAAAAAGTGATTTCTTCATAAGAGCCACATCTGGAAACAACAAAAGTGTCCACAAATAAGAAAACAAATTAACACATCACAGTGTTCATACCATTGAATATTGCAATATAGCAAAAACTGAATATAGCAATAGAAATGAAGTATTTCTACAAAGAGCAATATGCATAAATCTCCCAAACATTAGAAAAAGAGCAGGAGAAGCCAAACATAAAATAATCTATAGTGAATTATTCCCTCCATATGAATTCCAAAAATACCTAAAACTATTGGAGATTAATTATCCTCGCCCCTTCTCTGAAGGGAGAGGTAGCAGTTGGGAATTCATGGGGAAGGCATGGGGAAACATTCTGATATTCTATTCATATTCTATAATCTGAATAATTAAGTATTTTGGAAGGGGTTACATAGGTGCATAGCATTATGCAAATCTTCATCTAGGTATAGTCTCAAGATTTGGGCATGTTAATATATGAGTGTTACACTTCAGTTAAAACAGTTCAGTTTCTTTTAATTCCCCTCAAATAACAATATTAATGATAATAGTTAGCAATTACTGAAACTTTATTATGATAAGAGTTTTGCATTAATTTCATCACTTTCTCCCTAGAATGAAGCCTATTGCATAGAAATTTTTAATTCCCAATTCACAGATTATAAAAACTAAGGTTTAGAGAGGCTGACCAAGGTTCCACAGCAGGTTAAGTAGCAAAGCCAGGACTGGAACCTAGTTTGCAGTGGAGCTGATCTGAAGGGAAGCAACTGGAAGCAAAGAAGATGCAACTGGTTGGTGTTACTCTACCTTCCTCCAGAAATGATGCAAATGTGTTTTCAGGAAGGCAGCATGTTTTATGTGTTCGTGTGTGTTTGTGTGTGTGTGTGTGTGTGTGTGCACGCCTGCCTGTGTGTAAGCCTTCTATTGCCAACACTTTCTGCCTTGACTGTAGTCAAAAAAATGAAAACACATGTTCAATTTGACAAAGTCTATTTTGTGATACATCTCCTTTTTCTTGGAGCTGAGGACACAGGTGAGCCATGTGACCAATACATTCCCAACAAGTTTTCCATGCAGAGATGAGTGATGGCCAGAAGCAGGAGACATACACACTGACCATGACCTTGACTGACTACCAGACCTCAATCTAAGCAGGGTAAGTCTTGATCACCCAAGGGTTTGACAAACGTAGCTTTTTAACCACATCTTCTCCATAGGTTAGGTAAATAGGGATTATGTGGAGATGAATTATAGCAAGATGATTTTCAAATACTCAGATAAACATAAGTTTCGATAAATGTATGTTTCACTCCAAAAGTTAGTTATATATTGGATTCTTAGGACATGTTTAAAGTAAATTATTAAATTGCCTTTATTGGTTTTCATCCCCCTGGTAGTATTTCAACTCCCAGAAAGATATGGAAGTCCTTGGGGAAGTTTGTGATGTTTACACTAAACCAAGAGCACTTTTGGCACTTCATGAATAGGGATAGGGGATTTTGAATACACAAGTGAATGATCAGTCCCAGACACTAGAGTCATGTCAGCCCAAATATCTATCATGCCTCCTCAGAGGATCTCTGCAACAGAGGCAATGAGGTACTCTGTTCTAGTTGGAAATGCCTTACTCCTGCAGGTGAAACCACTTAACAATCTCCTTATAACAGTGCAATTACATCCATCTATCTATACATGGATCATATATATGTATATTTCACTATATGCGTGTTTCCAATCTTCCTCCTACCCCAACTCAACATTCCTGCATGCCTTGCCAAGTTTCCAATGTTTTCTCACATTCCTGAGTGTTCCTGCCTCAACAGATGTTCTTCTTTGTACTTTCTCAAAAGAGAATCAGGGGGAGAGAAGCTAAAATGGTAATGACAAGAGGCATATTTGCAGAAGATAATTTTTCAAAAAGTTGGGAGCAGAACTGGAACAGCTGTGGAAGAAGGGTCAAAGTTAATCCCCTCTTCCAAACAGCAAGCATATCAAGTTGTTGTCAGGAACCATGAGTATTAGCAGGTGCATGAAGAGAACTGATCCCAAGCTATGCATGTAGCCAATCCAACCAACTTTTTTCATACCTTTTGTTAGGGTAGAGTCCTTAACATGCTGATCAGAAAGGGTACCCATCCTATTCAGGGAGACATGGTACAAAGAAGCTTCTTGAAGCACATAGTCATCAAGTAGGCTTACACATATTTGCAGGAGAACACAGGTGCTATCTTACATTTTTAGCTCTAGTTTATGAATGAGTAAAGCAACAAGTGATTTATGTGTCCTGTCAAATAAGAACCCCCCAAAAATGCATAATCTTCTGGTATCTCATATAATTCTAGGCATATATTTTATGTATGATACTGCTGATAGTCCCTCTTTTGATTTTTTTATCTCTTTATAGCATTGGTTACCATAGAGACAAACATAACACTGCCCTGGGCAATGCTTATGGAAATGTATCAGTAAAAGTGAACATCAGTTTATTAGGTAATGACTTTTCCTGTTTACACAATTAACTCTCAGAAGGTAGCCTGTTTATGAAACATACATAAATAAGCCACATGGGTGAAGTCACTGTTCACGTGCTCAAGCATTCAGACTGCTAGACAATTAAAAGTAAATGACCTGTGCTATTATTCAATATTGACTCTTCTAACAATTCAGTATCTAGGTTGACGTATTTCTAGATCCCAATTACTCAGCAGCTAAATGTTTGAATTGTTTCATACTCAGCTTTCAATAACTGTGAAATATTTTCAGCCTTTCCTGTTTGAAACAGGCTATGAATTTTTGTTTGTGTTGCTATGGTGATCTATAGTGTCACCATTTTAATAACCACATCAAATGCAGGCATTAAGTAGCAATGTAATACCTCTACATAATTTAACACCAACTATAACAACCTGTGATATAATTGAAAATATTTCATAAGGAAATTTAAAGTAAATAGAAATAAATTACCGCAAGACTGAAACATAAATATTTGAGGAATGAGCATGAACACTGATGATAGAAAAATCCCTTTCTAATAATTGGTGCAAATCCATGGTTAGTTGTAACCAGACCAGTTTTTGTTTTCTATCTTGCAAATAGAGAAAATTAAACACATACAAATTATTAGGGCAGGAGGCATCAGGACCTTTTTCTACAGACTTCAGTGATGCATTTATAGTCATTAACTCTTGGATCATGGGTCATTAGTCTCTGGCAATACTGAAGACTGAAGTTGTATGGTAGATTCCTTAATGAGCTGATGAGAGGGAGACTCTTGTCATCCAAGGAGACATGGTACAAAGGAGATCTAGTGGCTTAAACTAGAAATGAGGTCGTTTCATATTTCCTTCACCATGTATGTTTTCCTCCTGCTTGATGAAGAGACTTGCCTGTCTCTTCACAGCCAATTCCCAAGTGAAGATGAGTTGGCAACTGGTCAGATGTGGGGCCCTGAAACATGGACCACAGAGTGGGTGAGCCAAGGTAGGAGATACAGAAGGTGAAGCAACATGCTGAGAAGGAAAAGAATAAAATTATCTCCTGAAAAACAAACATACAAATCCCTTTCTCATTCCCAAGGGAACCATTAATTTGATTCAAGAGTCCTCTTTTCCTTGTACTTCAGAAAAGCTGACCTAATTGCCAGCTCCAAGATGCATAAACCCAGCATCCTGTTGATGACAATGTTTGGTCCAAGGGTAAACACATGTCCTGAGTTGCCTCAATCAGACTAAAGGAAGGGACCTCATAGTTTTTGATTAGGGAAATGATTATTTTCTCTCTCCTTTTGACTCTCTGTGATCAAGTAAGCACATAGGTCAAATGAAAATTCTAGTGCAGGGCTCCCCAATCCCGGTCTACAGCCTATCAGGAACTGGGCCACACACAGCAAGAGGTAAGCAGCAAGTGAGCCAGTTAAGCTTCATCTGTATTTACAGCCACTCCCTATCATTTGCATTACCTTCTGAGCTTCACCTCCTGTCAGAGCAGTGGCAGCATGAACCCAAATGTTAACTGCATATGCGAGGGATCTAGGTTGCACGCTCCTTATGAGAATTTAATGCATGATGATCTGTCATGGTACCCCATCCCTCCCAAATGGGACTATCTAGGTGCAGGAAAACAAGCTCAGGGCTCCTACTGATTCTATATTATAGTGAGTGGTATACTTATTTCATTATATGTTACAACATAATAATAATAGAAATAAAAGTATGCAATAAATATAATTTACTTGAATCATCCTGAACCCATCCCCCCAACTTGCCCGAGTCTGTGGAAAAATTATCTTCCATGAAACCAGTCCCTGGTGCCAAAAAGGTTGGGGACTGCTGTTCTAGTGGACACCTGAACAGAGAGAGAAAAAGAGCCCTATGTATTAAGGATTTGGTTGAACAGCTGAAGTGACTGAAGTTGGAGGATTTCCTTCTTTGGGCTTTGCAATGTGAGCTACTGATTTTCGTGTTATTTTAAATAGGTGCGAGGCAGCCTTCTCAAGATCTGTAGCTGGAAGCAACATCTTGTCTGCTACAAGGCTACAGCAGTCGAGTAAAATATCCATGTTCCCTTGATTCAAGGAGCTTTCAGCTCTAGGGAAAACATGACATCTTCATGGTCTGGCCTTGAGCCTGAGGAGCACTGAGAAGTCACTCTAGGGAAGATGCTGTTCTGGAAGGGAAGCAGGACCCTAAAATACTTCAGTGCACTCCATAAAACGGTTGGGGCAAGTCAGATGTGTGGCGCTGACTTGGAGGCCCTCTCTGGAGTGCGGAGTTGACTTGGAGGCCCTCTCTGGAGGACAACAAATGTGTTTCCTACATTATGACCCCTAAAAGAAAGACACATAGTGGCGATGTCAGTCAGTGTCCCTTTCGTGGTTTCCAGTAAACAGTTGGAATAATTTGTGAAATCTTAAGGCTAGTATTAATAAAGAACATTATTGCCACCCACAGGCCTGAAAGATAAACAAGACAAAGTGCTTCCTACAACCTGGAGACCGAGAAGGCTGCCAGGCAGGAGCTGTGATTGCAGCTGAAAGATGCAGCCAGTCTTTAGCAACTCCACATGGAGGAAGCCAGGAAAATAAATACTCAAATCAATCACAATTTCTTTTTCTGCTATTTCTTGTCCATGCTCTGAATTTTTCAAAATCGACTAGAAGCTAGAGAGCAAGGGAGACCTTTGGTGAACCTACTCTGAATATGGGGCACAGAGCAACGGGGAGAGAGGTGATCAGGAGACACCCAGTTTAGGTGCCTGCCTCTTCCTCATTAACAACTTCTGTTTCACTCAGCGTTCCTTTGTGCCCAGCTGAAAAACTGCATTCTCCATTCTCTTACATTTGCCGTGAGTATGATGTGGAACTGGAACTAACAAAAAGGAAGAACAACAGAGGAGGTGCAAGAAGCAAGAGAGGGAAAGCACCGTGGTGGAACAGTGGCTGATAGTTTTCTGGTAGAATGCTATAAAAACATTTAATAATGAGCATGTTCCATATCCAGTGATTTTACTTATTTTTTAATTTTGATAGTTAAGTATTTAAGTGTTCCTTTTGTGCCAGGGAATGTATTATGGACCAAAGAGTAATGAAATAAAGATGCTATTTCACTTCCTGCACTCATGGAATATGTTAATGTGGAGAAAGGGAAGACAAACGATATCCATATATCTATATTTATATATCCTTCTGATAAAGATGATGCCAGTAAAGCAAAGCAGAATGATGCCAGTAAAGCAAAGTAAAGCAAAGCAGAATGAAATGCATGAAAATTGCCAATCTGTAAGTGACAGATCTAAATAGTCAGAAAGAACCTCTTTTGAGGACAAATTGTTGGCAGGTAGCTGGAGAAGAGCAGAAATAACAGCTTTCCTGGGGCTACAGTTCCTTCTTGGAATGCTATCCACACATACAAACTTTTTTCCCCCTTCTTTATGTGGATCAAATACATATACAAAAAAAATGCAATACATCTTCAGGCTTGAGGAATAAAAGTTCTCTTAGAGAAGTTTAGGTCCACATTCACAACATCTATAGAAATAAAATCCACATTGTTTAGTGCAAAGGGTTGGCTACTGGGAAAAGACTTGGCTGCCATTATCAGGAGAGCCTGTGGAATTTATCAAAGAGCGTTGTTGCTTATCCTGTGGTTTCCTGTATTCACCAAAGCAATGTATCACCAGACGACAGAAGTAAAACTCTTTTCTTCTTTTTTCTCTGTGGTTCACTTAATGGAGATAAAGCTTCCCAGTAGAGCAGCCAGTGAAGTGTACTCTTTCCTAATAACCTGATGAAAGACACGTGAAAAGATGGAACATAATTGGACCAATCCCTCATCCTGGAGCAAAGTCTAGCTGATTTCAGCAGGATTCACATATTATGGACAAGAAAAATAGGTACCTGAATTATAAGCAACGGAGATCCTGGTAGTGTTATCTAGCATTATTACAACAATGGCTGCCTTATAGAATACATCACCACTGCAAGCCAGTTTATTGCTACATTAATTCACAAAACAGGGGCAATATTAAATACATGTAATATTAAATACAAATATTATTAAATACATACTTATTAGACATTTTTCAGGATTAAAAAAGGTACAAAGGTGTGTTTATCATAGTGCCTGGCATAGCAAGTTTTCTAATTGTGATATTGTTGTTGTTAACATAATTTATTTAACCTGCACGCATTGTTAAGCATGTTTTTTTCCTGCTAAATGTAGGGTCTTGACAATTTTTTCATCAGAAGAGGTGAATTTTCAGAATATCAAAGTTGTTCAGGCATTTGTAAATCAGTCTGCTTAAGGATTACTTACATATCATAGTCAGTATTTGGGTATCTGAATCCAAATTGTGCTACTGATGTTTTATATACAGTTTAATACAAAACTTTAGACAAGTGAAATTTAACCAACTTTATATGAGAAAAGAACAATTCATAAATAAGGCAGCACTCCAAACCAGAAGACGTTTAGACAGCTCCGCTCAGCAGTCGTAAGCAGCAAATTTGTACAGGCTGAACAAGTAAGCAAAGGAGAAAAGTTACCCGGTTGGCCTCACCTAAGCGGCTGCCTTATTTGAGCATCATGTAATGAGACATTTGCCTTATTTGGGCATAGTCTCGCTAGCTGGAAGCCTGTGATTTGCTGAAATCTGGCTATCTGCTACAAAAAATTTACTCCTAATTTAGGTTTGGGTTTATGTACTAAATCAGGCTGTGATTTATTATGCAGGAACTCAAAACACAGAAACAACCTCAGGTTGTCTTCCTGCTTACTTAACAGTGCTGACAGGTATGAAAGAAAATAGAATCTCAAGACCCCAAACTCACCACGCCAAAGAAAAATGAAGCTGGGAAACTAAGTCATGCAATACTGCCTTCCTTTTGTTTCCAAACAGCTGTAATTTCACAATCCTGTGTCCTAGATTCATCCAGAAGCCAGGTTCCCATAAAAAAAGAAGGTCACATATCTCCCCAGATGGCCTCCCTCACACATTGCTCCCAAGGAAATTCCTTGCCAGTTGCTGAATCTTCCAGGATACACAGCTCCTCCAGAAGTTAGCCCTAAAACAGTTCTGCTGAATCTCACTCTGACAATGTCAGTTACCAGCTTATCTTCATAGGACAAGGAGAATATTAAAAATCCACCATGGGCCTATCCTAAGAAGAACTCATTATTGACTTTCCTCTACTCCCTCTTTTCACATGTAAAATGCAGATTTACTAGGGTAAATGGAGCTTCACAAGAACGTAAGCATCTACCACTGCCTACCCTCACTTTTTTTCCTCTCCTACTTGCTGTTTCCCCTTTAAATACTGAGGTTCCCAAAACCCTCTTCGGAAAAAGCACAGGTCACAGATGCTCCTGTGATCCTGTATTTATTCCTAGACGTGACCTTGACCTTGGCTAAATAAACCTCTATGGATTGAGGTCTGCCTCAGTGATGTTTTGAACACAGGGTTTGTCCAACACTAACTGAGAAGTTGGTGACTGAGGATACAGAAGACAGGACTAGCAATTCCCTTGAATAGGCAGGAGATGATAGCCTGCCCCATGCACAAATGACTGGTGAACAGGAGGGCTTACATAGGAACATGACCCTTTACCTATGGTAATGGGAGGAAAGCAGAGTTCACCACACACAGCAGCAGGACTGACCTTGGCCACCTCTGCTGTCTCATAAAGTAAGCAAGGCCGTAGGGTAAAATTCACACAACTGAAGTCAGTGCATCCCCAGGTGTCTTCCTCCCCTAATGTGGGGTGTTGCTCCTGTTGGCTTTTCTCTGCGTGAGTCCTGATCTGGGTAACTTCAAGTCTTCTTGTTTTTTTTTTTCATTTTTCCCCCTTGAGACAGGGTCTTCCTCTGTTGCCCAGGCTGGCATGCAGTGATGCAATCTTGGCTCACTGTAGCCTCCACTTCTTAGTCTCAATCAATCCTCCCACCTCAGCCTCCCCAGTAATTGGTACTACTGGCCTGCACCACCATGCCCAGCTATTTTTTGTGTACGTGTGTGTGTGTGTATATATATATATATATACACACACACACACATATACTTTTTTTTTGGGTAGGGAGTCTTGCTATGCTGCCCACGTTGGTCTTGAATTCTTGAGCTCAAGCAATTCACCTGCCTCAGCCTCCCAAAGTGCTGGGATTACAGGCATGAGCCACCGTCCCAGCTACCCAAGTCATCTTGAAAGACCCCCTACTTGGGGGACTTGACCACCATGGTTTGGCCTTTGGCCTGAGGTTCAGGGAGCTCCTAGGGACACCTCAGAAGGAACAGATCCTGCCCTCTGGGACTCGCGGGCTCTGGAGCTCCCTCTGCTTCAGGCCCAGGTGCTGGGACAGGCGTGCTCCTAGGCAGGGAGAGGGGTAGCTGTGGTATCCGAAGCCCGTTTCTCCTAGCCACGCCTGGAGGCGTGGTTTCCGGGTCTGAATCAAGGTGCCCGCGGCCTCGTCTTCTTCCCGCCAACTCCCAGCTCTCAAGAAGGCGAGGCTTCCGGGGCGCACCCAACTCCCACCAGGGGCCAGGTCTCCCTCGGGACGCCCTGCGACTCTAGGTGGCGGGTTTCTGCAATCCACGCTGGACATGGCCCGCAGCTAGACTCCCTCCCGGGCTGAATCCACGGTGTCGTGCTGCGGGTCTACACGGCCGCCAGCGTCCTCCCCGCCATGTCTCCACACCACGCCTGATTGGCAACCCGCGGGGCGACTACTTCGTCCGCATGTCTCCTGGAGGTACTGGGCACATCCTCCGGGTCCTGAGGCTGCGACCTGGGGCTCCGGGTCCTGGGGTGCTGGGGACCGCCCAGCAGCCCCGTCCTCTTCATCATCGTCCTGCGCTCGCCTGCAGCGCCGCCGACGGCTGCAGAGAGCAAGGCCGGCGACTATCCCGCGCGCAGGCGCACACGGCGGCCACCGCGGCTAGGAGGGCGGGGGCGGGGCCTCATGCCTCGGTAGTTCGGGCGAGGCTGGCGGGCTCCCTTGCGCAGGCGCAGACGGCGAGGCTCACGTTCTCGCGAAAGGGTGGTGGTGGCCCCGGGTGCGTGAGAGACGCCTGCGCACAGGCGCAGACGGCGGGGGTAGGGTTGGGCGGGCAGTAGGGGCGACCTGGACGCAGGTCCGTGATGCAGGTGCGTGGCCATAGGAGCATCTGGACCGTCCCTGAGGGGTTACAGCCGATAATCTCATTATTCCTACAGTCTCTAAAAGTGTTTTTGTGTTTTTCTTTGTTTTGCTACAGATGTGGAAATGCATCTTGTTCCAGTACATCACATTCCAGGGAACAACGAATTCCTTTACAAAGCCGGGTGTCGTCATTTTCTTAGAAGAACCACTGCAACGGTAATCAAAGTTGACTCTGCTGGAAAGGCAGGGGAGACGGAAATGATAACATAAGCAGCCGGCTGTGTCATTTCTAACATTTGTATCTTTTTTTCCCAGTAATTCGTGCCCACGGCTGAGTTTAGAGTCACCTGCTTGTTTACCTACTCGCGCACACACACACATACATAAAATATAGTAAACCCTACTGATAAATCAGAATTCCCATCACAGATTGCCTTTCATTTCTAATTAATGGAGAATTCTAAAGAGGGAAAGCTGTGAGGAAGCATTCCCTAAATAGCAAGTGCATACGAAAGGTTTTTATTGCATGTAACTTATATGAAGGTGCCAACAGTAAGGCTTCATCAAGTTTTAGTTTATTTGTGGAAAACTGATTTCCAATTTAAGCCATTTATTAATTCCGTGTTTCAGAGAAACTTGACCGAGCACTTGCCATGCTTCCGGCACCATTCAAGGCAACAGGGTTATGGTCTTGAATAAGAGAGACAGAGTTCTCATCTCTCGAGAGACTGGCAGTAAGCCCGAAAATAGATCAATACACAATATAATTTCAGATAGTGACTTTTTGCTACAAAGCCAAAAGTAAATCAAGGTGAGCAGATAGCATATTTTTAGAGGAGGTGCTACTTGAGATAGAGACGTGAGGCTTACGTCTTACTCATGCAACCTGCCTTTCGAATGGAGGTGGAGTGCTGTACTTTGCATTGTTCTCATCCCAGGACTGTCAGACATTACAGAACAAAGGAGAGAATTGGCAATACTTGCACTGTCTCTTAAAGCTTCAGTCCAGAAATGATATTCACCACCGTTGCACATATTTCACTGGTCAAAACAAGTTGCAAAGCTAAACTGACCTTCAAACGAGGGAGAGCATGTAGAATCCCACCATGTGCCCCAAATAAGAGAAAGCTAGAATATGTATGAGCAGTCCTAATGATTATAACACATGAAAACATCTCCCCAAAATCACTGCCTGGAGAGGACAGTATACTCTTCTCATTTCCCTTAAGTTGAAAGGCAAACTGGTTATAAATACAGAATATTTCAGGATGGTGCAGCCACAGTGAAAAATGTAACTCGAAGGAGAGGGGTTGGGGTAGTGGTAGTGGTGGTGGTTCTGCACATTGAGTATTTATTTTCAGACTGCCACGACCTTTCTACGCCATGCTGCTATAATTTGCATGTATAGTTATTCATGATCCTGTATGCTATGGAGGGCAACAAGATAGCATCCTAAGCAGTGGTTTACAGAGCAAGCAACTGTGAATTCCAGATGCAAAGTTTGGCATGAAGCTGGGGTTGGGAAATATAATCAAAGCTCTCACAGTGATAAATGAGGTACATAATTTTATGTCTGTCACTGGGTAGCTTTGAAATATTAACCATCAAAAACCTCTCTGAACTGTGAAGTTTTGCAAGCAGATATCCCTTCTGCGTAATGAAGGTGGAAAGAAAACAGTTACATCTGGAACAAAAGCATTGCTCATGAAGTGGAAGTGTAATATTGTCTTGTGACAGTAATGCAATATTGTCAAAAACTCAGATCTACATAAGGAAAAAAAGATCATCAGAAAAAGATAAAACTATTGTTGTTTCTTGTAATTAGACTAAAAGGTAACTGTTAAAGTAATGATATTAACAATACATTGGGTGATTATAGTTTTTAGATAAGTAAAGTCAGTAACGGCAATGTCATAAGGGATGGGAAGGAAGAATCAGTCATATTATATTGGAAGATTTCTGTACTACATGTGAAATAGCATAATGATATTTGAAGGTGGACTTCGATTATTTATGAATGTATATTGCAAACTCTAGGGCAAGCACACACAAAAATTAAAAAGAACTATAATTCACATACTAAGACCAAATAAAATATGGAATCAAATAAAATGCCCAATTAACACCAGAAAAGGGGAGGGAAGGGGCCAAGATGGCCGACTGGAAGCAGATGCATTCGGAGGCTCCAAAAAAAAACCACAAAAAACCATAATAAGTGTGTGAATCCATCACTGGCAACCAAGGTATCCAGATTCTCTTATCAAAATTGACTAGAAGGGTGGCGTGACTCACGGAGAGAAGGAAGACCAGTGTGACATGGCAGCCCACCTGAGAGCCACCGCGACCCCCTACCCCCAGCCAAGGGAGGCAGTGAGTGAGCATGCCACCCAGCCTAGGAAACTGTGCTTTTCCCACGTAAGTGTGCAACCCACAGATTGGAAGATCCCACTCGCGAACCCACCCCACCAGGGCCTAGCCTGCCAACCCTGGAACATGCAGATTCTTACAGCCTCTCAGCTGGAATCTGCTTAAGCCTGAGGAACTCAACTCCTAAGGGGAGGGGTGACCAACACCTGCTTCAGCTGCCTGCTCCCTAAGCCTTTTAGCTCCTTGGGGGAGGGGCAGCAGCCAGCACTGGGACTTGCAACTGCCTAACAAGCTAAGCTCCATGGGCAGGGGAAGGGCAGACCCATTTCCATAGCTCCAGGCTGCGTTTTTCTCCTGCTGGAGCCAAGGAGGCTGGACAGCTTGGTCCCAAGACTTATCCCCACAGCTCAATGCACCAGCTGTGCCAGTCTGTGGCCAGATTGGCTCTTCAGGTCTAACCCTGACCCATCCTTCTTCAGTGGGTGGGGCTTCCCTGCAGGACCTCCAATAACTCCAGCCAGAGGATCTCCCTGGGCCTGAGCCCCTAGGGGGAGGGGTGGTCACAGTCTCTGCAGATCACAGACTTAGCCTCTCTTCCTGGTAGTTCTGAGGAATCTGGTCAGCCCAGACAAGTGGGCTCTTCCAGCGAAACACACCCTCTCCACCAAGGGACAAAGGGCTTCGTTAAATGGGTCCTGCTCCCTGTGCCACCCAACTGGGTGAGACCCTCCAACAGGGGTTGTTAGACACCCTATACAGGAGCAATCCTACAGGCATCAGGTTGGTGCCCCTTAAGGTCAGAGGTCCCAGAAGAAGGAACAGGAACACATTTTGGCTGCTCTCCAGCCTCCTTGAGTGGCATCTCCAGGCACAGGACTGAATCAGATGAATAAGACCTGAAGTGAACCCCCAGCAAATTGCAGCCGCCCTACAGGAGAGGGACCTGACTATTGAAAGAAAAACAAACAAGTAGAAAGTGACAACAACAGCATCAACAACAACAAAAACAACAAAAAGGCCCCCACAAAACCCCATCCAAGGGTCAGCAGCCTCAAAAACCAAAACTAGACAAACTCATGAAGATGAGAAAGAATCAATGAAAAAATGCTGAAAACCCAAAAGGCCAGAGTGTCTCCTCTTCTCCAAATGAACCCAGCATCTCTCCATCAAGGACACAGAACTGGATGGATGATCAGATGGATGAATTGACAGAAGTAGGATTCAGAAGATGGGTAATAAAAAACTATGATGAGCTTTCCTTTTATGAGCTAAAGGAGCATGTTCTAACCCAAAGCAAAGAAGCTAAGGACCTTGATAAAATGTTAGAAGAATTGCTAATGAAAATAACAAGTTTAGAAAGGAAAGTAAATGACCTGATGAAGCTGAAAAACACAGCACGAGAACTTTGGGAAGCATACACAAGTATCAACAGCTGAAATGGCCAAGTGGAAAAAAGAATATCAGAGTTTGAAGACCACCTTACTGACATGAGACATGCAGACAAGAATAGAGAAAAAAAGAATGAAAAGGAATGAACAAAGTGTCCAGGAAATATGGGACTTCATAACAAGACTGAACCTACAGTTCAGTTGATTGGAGTACCTGAAGGAGACAGGGAGAATGGAAACAATCTGGAAAACACACTTCAGGATATTATCCAGGAGAATTTCCCCAACCTAGCAAGACAGGTCAACATGCAAATTCAGGAAATAAGAGAGCACCATTAAGACACTCCATGAGAAGCTCAACTCCAGGACACATAATCACCAGATTTTTCAAGGTCAAAATGAAGGAAAAATTGTTAAAGGCAGCCAGAGAGAAAGGCCAGGTCACCCACAAAAGGAAGCCTATCAGACTATCAATGGACTTCTCTGCAGAAACTCTACAAGTCAGAAGAGATTGGAGGCCAATATTCTACATTCTTAAAGAAAAGAGTTTTCAACCCAGAATTTCATATCCAGACAAACTCAGCTTCCTAAATGAAAGAGAAATAAAGTCATTTCCAGACAAGAAAATCCTGAAGCATTTTGTTACTATCAGAACTCCTAAAAGAAACACTAAAGATGGAAAGGAAAAATCGATACCAACCACTGCAAAAATACACAAAAATATAAAGACCAATGACACTGAAGAAACTACATCAACTAATGTGCAAAATAACCAGCTAGCATCATGATGACAGGATCAAATTCACACATAACAATACTAATCTTAAATGTAAATAGGCTAAATGCCCCAATTAAAAGACAGACTGGCAAATTGGATAAGGAGTCAAGACCCATTGGTGTCCTGCATTCAGGAGACCCATCTTACATGCAAAGACACACAAAGGTTCAAAATAAAGGGATGGAAGGAAAATTTGACAAGCAAACGGAAACCAAGAAAAGCAGGGGTTGTGATCCTAGTCTCTGACAAAACAGACTTTAAACCAATAAAGATCAAAAAAGACAAAGAAGGGCATTATATAATAGTAAAGGGAACAATTCAATAAGAAGAGCTAACTATTCTGAATATATATGCACCCAATTCCAGAGCACTGAGATTCATAAAACAAATTCTTAGAGACCTACAAAGAGACTTAGACTCCCACACAATAACAGTGGGAGACTGTAACACCCCACTGTCAGTATTAGACAGATCAATGAGGCAGAAAAGTAACAAGGATATTCAGGACTTGAACTCAGCTCTGGATCAAGTGGACCTAGTAGATGTCTACAGAACTCTCTACCCTAAATCAACAGAATATACATTCTTCTCAGTGCCACATGGCACTTACTCTAAAATTGATCACAGAATTCGAAGTAAAACACTCCTCAGCAAATGCAAAAGATCTGAAATCATAACAAACA